TCCATTTTACTGTAATAAAATACTGAAGAAACAAAACAATTTAAAATTCTAATAAAATTCAGTGCCTATCTTCGGCAGCCGGGATGATTCAATTATTTAGCTGTTATTGAATGCAAAGTCAGGGAAATTGAACAGCTTGCAAGACGGAGAGAGGAAATTTTTGTTCCTGGTGGGGGATTTGGGGGTCTTTTTTTCCCCTTCCTTCCCCCCTGAAAAATGCCAGGAGAGGAGATGGAGACAAATGAAACGCCTGCCTTCGCCTCCGATATTCTCCCAGGGAGCTTCGGCTTCCTAGGAAAGAAATACAGATTATAAATATATATATATTGTTTCTCTTGCCTTTTCCTTGCTGAAGGTCTCAAAGCAGTTGAGAGAAAGAAAAGGGAAATTGACCGAATAAGACACTTCGGTGGGAACAAAAGACGGGAGGATTCTGGGTGGTTTTCAGCTCTGCACTGCAGGTCACTTCAATGTGCTTTTAAAATAGGTATCGCTTTAATTAGAATGGATTAAATTGGGTCTTAAGCTTTTTCTAGGTTAATGGGCTTATGAAATGACTCTTTTTTTCCTAAAAAAGAAGTGTTTAATCTTTAAAGGTGCAGATAGACCTCCTTCCTCCCCATTCCACACAAGCCTACGTACTTGTCCAGGAAAGACATTTAAAACATTTAAAATTAAATATACATCGGAGACCAGCCTCGTCCCTTCCCTTAATACCTACTGAGGATTTGGAAAGGTGTTTTTTTTTCCTGACGATTCTCCACACACGTTTGGGCCCTGGAGGCATTTCAGGTTCAGCTACTGAAAGTCCTCTGGCTCTGTTTGAAAGGCTGGGCAAAACCGGGTCATTAGCATGCCAGCTTTCTCACGTGGCATCAGCAGAATTAGAAGAGGGTTTGGTTTTGAAAAACGGAGTAATAATTCTATTCAAAAAAAAGTTGGTTGGGGGCTTTGGGGAGGCTGCACTCTGGCCACGGGTGCCCCGCCCGCCTCTTCTGGAAACCCCCAGACCCAGCCTGGAGGGGAGGGGAGAGCAGACGGGGAGAGCCCCACCCACCCACCCTGGGCCAGGGTGCAGCCCTGTTGGTGGCTGCCTGGCGTGGCAGAGGGCGAGGAACGGGCCAGTGGCATCGTGTCAAGGCAAGTGTGCGTGTGTGGTGGCACAGTGGCGAGGGTGCCGTGAAGGAAAGCAATTACGGCCCGTTCGAAAGCAGTAATTACTGTGGGGAGGGAGGGACGCTTGCCAGCCGAGCTCCGAAGCGCCCCAGGAGCCCCACGGAAATTGGTTGCTCTATCATTTTCACAGCAGGGAGCCCAGCATCCCCCCACAAGAGGTGACAACGTGGGGAATTTGCGGCTTGTCATATCCAGTCCCTGCTGGTGCTCGGCAGTGATAGAGTCTGTCTCCTTCCTTCCTTCCTCCTCCTCCTCCTCCTCCTATCTGCCCTCCAGAAGCCAAAGACGGCCAGGGGAAGGTGGGGGCCAACCTGCACTGGGATTTTGAGGACACAAACGGGGGGGGGGGAGTTGGGCAGATGGACACTGCAGGATGGCTGGGGCCTCTCTCCACGTGAGCTGCAGCTTCCCCTCCTACTCACCCTCATGCCAGGAGCCATGGCATTAGGAATGCCATCGTGTCAGTGGCTCATTAGTGCCCCTGTTCCTAGAACGCTAGCAGGGATCACCCCCTTCTCTCCCCACCCCCCCCACAAGGACTGCAGGGAGCACAGAAGTGCCTGCCTGGGTGGGAGAGGATTTCAGAAGCCCCTCGGTTGCTCCTTCTGGGTCCTGGCTGCTCCCCCTTCTCCAAGCATTGCCCTTGGCACACACCCACGCCCCAGGGCACCAGGCTTGGCCCCCACCGCAGTGGGGGCATCGACTGTGAATGGCGCCCCCTCCGCTTCACTTGCCTGGAGTGGGGAAGGGAAGCCTGGCTGGGCCTTCACGGGTGCCCCCTTTCTGCCAGAGAAGGGTGTGGTGGCAGACGGGCATTTTGCTCTGGCAGCTGAGTGCCCCCCCCACCTTAATCGCGGGTTTCCATTAAACCAGCAGCCATTGGAAAGCTCCGCTGGCCAGGCAGCCCCCCTTCCATTGACGCTGGGGGCTTTTTACAGGTGCCTGGAACAAGCATTATTAACTAGGCTATGAAGTCAATTAAAACCTCGTCCCCCTCCGAGCTGCGTTTAATGCAGCCGTTGGCAGAGAAGGGAGGGGAGACTGGTTGCTTTGCTGCCCACAGCACCAGCGGGCAGTGCCTTGGCACCCAAAGGGGGTGGCTCCCTTGCGGAAGGGGCTCCAAGACCTGGCAAGCGCAGGTGTCCTCCTCACGCCCCAACTCTTTCCAAGGCACCTGTATTTGCCAGGGCCCTCACATGGCATTCCCCCCCCCCATAGCTTTTGGCCTGCAGAGTGGCAGGGCTGGCATCTGGAGGCTCCCCTCCCTCCCTCCCTCCCTTGCCAGAGAAATTGCCACCTTGGAGAACTGCACATTTTACACCTCTGGCATTTCAGGGCTGGCTCAGTTCTTGCTATCTTTTATTTCCTTGGACTCTCTGCAAATTCTTTGGACATTTTCTCTTTAATGATGGCAAACCGCCTCTGAGCAGGTCTCTGCCGCCCTCCTTGAAACCTGGAAGGGATTCAGAAAGTGGCAGACGGGCTATTCTGAACTTGCTTTCCGAACGTGGGATTCTCACGGGTCAAAAATAGGATCTTGGATCCACACCTTTTCTTCGGCTGCCGCCTTTCCCAACGGAGTTTGGGGTGACAGACTGGGAGGGGGGGGGGTTGTTTGTCCAGGCCTGTGATTCTCCCTCATTCTTTGCCTCCTCCCCAAACCCTTCCCCTCTTCCCAGCAAGACCCCCTTTCCCCACCTCTCCTTCCAGAGGCAGCCTCTACAGACACCTAATTTATTCAATCTATTAGATAGATTTTGTAGATTTAATCATTTTCACAGTTGGTGGCTCATTGGATACTCAAGATAAACTCCAAATGAAAGCATAATGGAAACAACAAATGGGTTTTCACACCAGAAACTAGCTCAAGGAAGGAGTTTCAGAGAGGCAGAATCCATATAATCTCCCCCTCTCTCTCTCTCCCTCCGTTCCTCCTCCTCCTCGCAGCCGCCTTCTGCTGACTGCAGTTACCACAGTTAATTTCACCAGTTTTGTTCATCTGTAAAATTGCATAAAAGTGACATTTTTGTGCTCATTATAAGAAGTGCTGATTTATAGCTGGTAAATGGATTTTTTTCCCCTATTTTTTTTTCCCCGAACGGGGCGCTCATAGTGCCACAAAGCATCCATGAAATTGCTTGTATAATATGGTTTAAATCCAATCTTTCAGAGCCGTGCTCCCTCCCTGCCCCCACCTTCCTGTAAAGAGACATTTCCACTCTTCTTCCCATAGAGCAGTGTTTCTCAACCTTGGCCACTTGAAGATGTCCGGACGTCAACTCCCAGAATTCCCCAGGCAGCATTCGCTGGCTGGGGCATTCTGGGAGTTGACGTCCGGACATCTTCAAGTGGCCAAGGTTGAGAAACACTGCCATAGAGAATTGCTGCCCCCCCCCCCCCCTCCTATAGACAACCTTGGAAGTCCCAAGATGATCTTTGAGGACATGGAATCTATTCGGAAGGACGAAGGCAAATTGGCTCCCTTGAGAAATCATCAAACAAACTTTAAGGAGGGAACCCGGTGTTAGTTGGGTGGCTTTGAGTGACTCTGCTGCTCAGCAGAGCCTCCAGAAGCTGGAGAAGGAAAGAGGGGGGGGGGACCCATCCTTAATGGCTGGATTCCTAGCATGGGTTTGCTGGAGAGGCGGGGGGGGGGTTGATGCTTTTG